ACGTGGCTAAGGAAGATGGAGGCGGAAGTGGCTGCATTAAAAGAAGAGGTAATGCTGTGGTGAAAACCTTGCCTGGCTCTAAGATGCACACTAAGGAAGAAATGTGTTAATGTAGCAGGGATCCCTCTAAGGGCCAGGGGCCTGTCAGCTCTGTTCCCTATCAGATCCAGCTGGGAAAAGGGTTGGGTATTTTCTGAGAAGAGCTGGGAGTCCAGTTAAGAGTCTGGCTCCTCTGACTAGCTCTGGATTGTACGTATAGAGAGAGGCCGCTGGCTTACACAGGTTGGTTGTGAGAAGAAGTTTTGCTTTGGGTTGGTTTGAATCTTGTTTAAATTAGTGAGCTGTGCCTTGTGGAAGGAGCCTGAAAAAGTCTTGGTGTATGGTGTTAGGGTGAAGTTGCATGTTACACTTGGACCATGCTAAGGATACTTAAAACATGAAAATTGGTTTGTTAAGGTCATGGTGAAAAGGAAACAACTGTCCATGCACATAATAAGGTACCTTTGAATTTTGAGGCAAAGCTGATGTGATGCTGCTTTAATTCTCTCCTGTGCATCATTGTGAGTCATGTTTTCTGTATTGTAGCCATCAATAGCCAGGATAACATCACCAGGACACAAATTAGCTGTTGAAGCCTTGCTTCCTGGAGTAATCTGAAAACCATACAGCTGGTTAACCATGTTTAGTTCAATTAAGGCCCCAAGCATGCCTATCAATTGGTAAAATAAGAAATTTTAAATTTCACTCTTTGAATAAGTCTTGTATAATTTTACAAGCTTTGAAGATAAAATCTAATGCAATCTAATTTTCACACAAATAACTGCCTGCATAATTACAAGAATGGTTGATTGAGTATATACTTCTCTAACTATTCCCTTCTGTTGTTGTTTGTCAATTAAGTTGTTACCTCTTGATGTGAAGAGAGAGAGTGCAGTTTCATTGCAATTCCTAATTTTAATTTGGATATTTCTTTCTTTTCTCTTCTAGGCTAAATAACTGCTGTCTTGTAATTTATCACAATATTTAAATTCCACAATTCTTGTAACAAAGTACTCTTTATTTTCCTTTTCTAGATCTGTTCAGTCTCTGTAATTTCTTCAATATAGCAATCAGATTTGAAGTTGGCTCTTTCAGGATGAAATCCTGTTAACTTTTGGTAATTGCATTGTAATGTGCTATAAAATAGGGTTTGGGTTTTTGTTTTTGAATACATTCATGAATTTGCATAGGGCTTCAAAGAACTATCACCTTTCTCAAAAAGGGCATTTTTAATGCTTTTATGTTTATAGCTGATTTGCCATAATTTTCCCTGAGCCCTGAATTTCTTACAGCTTCTTGGTGGTGTTGATAATGTATCACTTTTGGTTAACATATGGCAGCTTGTAGAATCGGAGCCTGTGTAGTCCATTCCAAATGCCATTGAGGAATTTAACTAAAGTCTCTGGACATCTGCAATCACCCATGAAAAGCAGTTTATAGGGCCAAGCTTGTAAACTGGTCTGTCATCCAGGCTAGGGACAGAACTTATACATACAGTGGTGTAAGTGATTGGAAACTAGTTCAGATTCATAACACAACAGAAGTTCAGTGCATATAAATGGCTTTCAAAATGGCCCAAACCAGTTTAAGATAAACCTAGATGGATGTAATATCAGACCTAACTGATTTAGGTTAAATTGGTTTCTGTCTCAGATCCCCTCCAGATTCAAGCTAACTCACAGTTCCCCCAGCATCCCAGGATGCTTTACATCTCCCCCACAAACACCCCCTCCCCCCAATAGGGTGGGTGGGCCAGCCTGGGCCCAAGTTGTCTGCTCCAGCCAAGCAGGGAGATGTGCTCTAGCACCCTGCAGCTTCTGACCCCACTGCAGGCATGTGGCTGCATCTCTAGAAGCAGCAGTGAATGCCTGTTTACTTGCTTGTCAATTCAGTCTTTGCAAGCTGTGCAGATTGAATTGATTCAGCCTTGGGCTTTTTGACTGTCTCTACTTAGCTGGTAACTCAGGGCAGGCAATTATTTTGGGCAGAGGGCCGCTTACTGACTTTTGGCAAGCTGTCAAGGGCTGCATGACAGGCAGCCCAGGGCAGATAAATATTAATTTTCTAAATTTTTTAGGGGCCCTGTGGGCCAGATAGAATGACTTGGTGGGCCTCATGTGGCCCCTGGGTCACGTTTTGCCCACCCCTGTAGTAATTTTTACAAACTGTAGGTCTCTTTCTCCTCTAAGGCTAGAGACGGAAGTTACACTTAAACCGGTTTAAGTGATCAGAAACTGGTTTAAACCTGAAGTTCAGTGCACATAAACCAGTTTCAAAATAGCTGAAACTGGTTTAAGATGAACCTGGTTGAATGTAGTATCAGACTTAACTGATTTAGGTCAAACCGGTTTATGAAACTTCTGTGCCAGACCCCTTCCTGGTTCAAGTTAAATTGGAGTCCCCCAGCATCCCACCATTTTGCAGCCCTGGGCAGGACTGTGATGTTTGCTCCAGCACAGCTGGTCCTGCCCCTGCCCCTCTGCTACCCAGTTGAAGCAGTGAGGGCTGGCTGATGCAGGGGAGGGAGGGGGCACACAAGCCTGGCTGGGGATGTAGCCCAGTCTACAGGGGGAGGACTGTACCCCTTCCTCCCAGGCAAACCCCAGCTGGGGTCTTGGGCTAGGGAGGGGCATTAAACACCCCTTCTCTGCTCAATCTTACTGCTGGCTGCAACTATAGACTAGAAATCCCAGAGGCAACTTGAAACAGGAAGAGTAAGTGATGAGTAACCCTGAAGAGTCCTGTTGCTATACTTCTGGACTGCAAATCCCAGAGACCTTGCAGGGGGGGAGCAGCAGGAGGAGAAAATGAATATAGAGCCAGGGAGCCGTGCTGTAGTTCTTCCTGGCACATACCTCTGCAGGCATGTGGCTGCATTTCCTGTATCAAAGGTAAATGTCTGTTCATTTCTGTTTCAGTGTAATCTGTGCAGTTTAGTCTAATCTGCAAAGACTGAATTGATTCCGTCTCAGGCTTTTTGGCTGTCTGTACTTAGCCCAAAGCACTAACTACAAAGCCTGACCCTACAATTCATATTTGAACCAAACTTGGTTGGGTACTAGTGAATCTCTTGCTGGAAAGTAGACTCCTGGATGGAAACCATGTTGGACAACACTGGTTCAGCAGCACTTAGAAACATTTTTAGTTTTTTGTCTATTTTCCTTTTCATCTTTTCTGCTTTGCTTTGCTTTTCTCTTTTTCCCCACATGAAAGTTACATTTTTTCATTGCTTCATGTGAAATGTTTTTAATATTTAAGACTAGGTATAAAATGGAAGAATTATAAAAGGGAGACTAATTCTAACTGCTACCTTTTCTTAAAAGACTCTACATGCACTTTGTAGATGTCAGCTTTTCTACATATATCTAACCTGCTGTCATATTTCTATATACAGGCACTCTGATTCATACCACAAGAAAAATGTTGTAGTGACACTTCAAACCCCTGAACATAAGCCATTTTATAATGCCATTCTAATGCATATGCATTACATCGTAACAAATGGTCAAGTTCAAAACCATTGAAAGAACTTTTTTTTTTAAGCTATTGCCCATCACTGGAGATGGAGCAAAGGTGACCTGTTTTGCTTGCTGAAAGGCCTTTTTCAGTTGCCAGGAAGAGAGTGAAACCAGGTTTTGATGGGAAGTCATTGAATGGGGGCCATGTCTGTCTGTACACGATATTCTTTCTTGCATTTCTACTAGAATCAATAGTTCCAAATATTAGAGGGAAAGCTATGTTATGTTTGTTGCAAGCACCCCAGATCAACAACATGGATCTAAACTTTACTCTCTCCTGCTTTCAGATGACAAACAACAACAAACCAGTGGAACAAAACCCCACCAAGTGCACAGATTTTTCTCCATTCTGACAAAGAGATTCCATAGATGCAAATTCTCTCCCCATCATGCATATCATCATGCAACATAACATTTTCTTTCATTGTGACACCGGTTAGGTAATTTCTCAAATATGTATTTAAATTTGAGGTAGTATTTACATATTTTGTTTGTTCAGTGCCTTGCAAAAAACACCCCAACTTTCTTGTGGTTGGGTTGTGTACCCAAAACCCATAGTGTAAAGGTCTAATTATTAAAAATATTCTAATCTCTCACTAGCATTTTAAAGTGTTTATATAAAAGCACTCATTACTATTTTTACACTTAAATGGTACATAATAAAAATGTATCTTCACCTCCTACCAAGTGACATTATTTACACTTGCATTATATATAACTTAAGTAAAAGGTGTGTATATATTAGACTGGTGGGAAAGAAGCCTGATTATGCTAGTGTGATTAGTTGTTCTGAAGTTTTAAGAAAGGGCTAGTACAAAGATATTTCAAGTATAATGATACTAATTAAACATAACAAGGGAGAGCTTTGTACTCTTACTAGGTTAGGGTTTTAAGTTCAGTGGACAGTTTTAAATCAGCTTCAATATCTATATCTATTTTTCTTTCCTTGATATAGGGGAAAATGCTACCCCTCTGAATAGCTCTGGATCAGCTCATTAGCTGCTGTCTCAGTCAGGGCTGCATTAAGGCATAGGCAAATTAGGCACATGCCTAGGGCCCTAAGTGAAGAAGGGGCCCATGTGTGCTTATTTTACATATTGAAATCTGAGTGGGGAAAGAAGTAATATACAATTTCATCTTCAGCTGTGGCCCCATGAGTTTGTTTGCTTAAGGCCCACTAAAGGGTTATTCTGGCCCTGGTCTCAGTTATTGACTATCAGGGAGCAATGAGGAGCTTCATGTCCATCTTCTCTCCCTTGGGAGTGTGGAAAGTAGTGACTGGTGCTGTATTGTGTGTCTGCTGGTGGAGACAGATTTCCCCCTTCCCAGCTCCTTGGATATTGTCTGATCCTGCCTCTCAACTCTGTTTATACAGCTGTTAGACCTGACTTGTTTTATTATCTTTATGGAGCATAGCTCCTGAGAGAAATATGGAAAGGTACCCTTTGGGTTCTGCAGGCACAGAGATTGAGCAGAAAGGCCAAACATTCAGGAATGAAGTCCCCTGTTGAATACATAGAGAAGAGAAAACACTCAAGAGCATTGAGGGGGAAAAAGTAAAGATAAAGGACAGCTGCCTTGGGAAGAAAGGTTAAAGCCAAAAAAAATCAAAAGGGAAAAACACTACTGGTATTTTTGGTAGTGTCTAGTAGGTCTACTTATTGATTAGGGCCTCACTGTACAAAGTTTTGAATTAATACAAAACAAAAAATCCCATCTCTGGAAAGATTGAAATAAAAGATGAAATGGTCAAGCGAGCACAATGTAACAATGGGAGGACAGGACGTTCTGAAAGACAGTGACACACGCCAATCATGTGACTCTTTGTCTATGTAATCCTCCTCCACACAATTCTTCTCTTTTAGGCTTCTTGTTCTCACCTTCAGGGCCCTTCAAAGCTCAACCTTCCCTATAGCTGCTCCTGTCTTTTATCACAATAGCAGTCTGGGCTACTCATCTATCTGCTGCTTCTGTAGCTCCCTTGACATTTCTTTTTCCTTGTCACCCCTCCTTGTCCTCTATAATTACTTCAGATATAAAATTGCTTGCAAAGGTTCTAGTTTTAAATATATTTTCCTAGGAAAGGACAGATTAAGCAAATTTTGTACTCGGTTAGATTTCAAAATTCTACTACAGATTTTCTGTCTTTATACTTTATTAGAAGGTTCTTCTCCTTTTTATTTCTTGGGGTTTTTTGTTTTTTTTTGTTTTTATAAGGGTCCATAGGTCACTGGACTATTAAGAATATATTTCTAACCTGTAGAAATGCACCTAAAATTTTTCTTTGGGAATGTAAAGAAGATGGGGAATTGACAAGCCCTGTGTCTCCTTCATTGTCTTTCCCTTCCTTTGTACATGTGTGTTCATGAAGTGACTTAATACAATGAAGAAGTGCACCTGTGTTACTGCACTTATGTTTTCCTCCTACTGTTTATTTGACAGTTACCCTTCACAGGACCTGCTGTGTGATAGTGTGTGGATTTAATGCCTTGGACTTTTTGTATCAAAATTGAGAAATGGTTCATCTAGTCTGACTTTTTTTAGTAGTGGCCTTTGGGTGATTCCTTGAAGGTGAAATCCTCCAATATGTCTAACTCTTCTTCATTGTATAGTGAAGAGAGGTAATTCTTTTTTTTAACAGAACTGGAAGTTAGCTTTAAACTGCTTAGATTCTGAAGTGTGATCATAGGTAGCCCTTACACTTCTTATCCTAACTTTACGCAACTGTAGTTTTTAGCCTTATGTATGAACCTAATCTGTTTGACTCTTACTATGCAATTGATATTAGTAATACAGTAACAGTATAGATTTAACACCTTGGATCATTTCTCAGTTTTGATATACCAAGTCCATTTAGTCTGATATCTGTTCTCAGTAGTTAATTACAAAGCATAAATAAAATATTTATTTGTGTGCATGGAAATGTATTGGTTTAGTTGTCCATGTGGGTTGTTAAAAAAAAAAATTTCACCAGCAGTGACATTTTTTCTGTCTTTAAAAGATAAGCAGTAATACTACAATGTAAATTTCCTAGAGCAGTAGTTCTGGTAGTATCATTAAATACATCTAAAATAAGGGTTTCCTTTTGGATCATAACCAAGTGACAAACAACACACCAGAATGTAACCAAACCTGGCAGAATTAATTTATATTAACAAATAACTTTTTGTTATTTCTAATAACCCAAATGCTTACTAATGAGAATATCTGGAGAGACTAATAAGAAAAATCTGTAATTCAAGAAATCTAAATCCCGCTGTATTTCACTCCTCATGTTTTTCCACTTGGGTGAGAGTAAAACTTATGTGACAGTGGACCACTTTTTTTTTTTATAACCTGCCATTTAAATTGCACAAGTTTCCATATTTGAGCATATAATGTCACTGGGTTCACTTTTCAATTTTTCATGTGTGAATGATAGATCTATAGGAGACTACCTACTGGGATTTTTGAAGTTGCTTTTAAGTAGAAAGATACTTGACTCTGTTAGAATTGGATGCCACATCTTAGTCATTTTTTTGAAAATCTTAGCCTTGCCCTGCTGTATACTGAACTGTATTGATCTTATGTGCTGTGAATCTTAGAATCAAATAAAAGATGGGCATATGTCAGATGCAAATTTTTTTAGAATAGGTAACATTTTTTTACCTAGATGTGGTGTGGCTTTCTTCAATTACTTTGGAGAAACATTTATTTTTTCTCCTGGACTTCATTTACTTAATCTACTGATTATTATTATTATTATTATTATTATTTGTAAATTTCTCTGGAATGTAGAATTTATGGCCACATTAGAATCCATCTCTTCTGAAGGGGGGGGAAGTCTCCTTACATGTTGCAAAGAGACTGGGCATAGATAAAATAAGATTAATGTATGTGTTAATGGAAACTCTAGAACCACATATTAAAACATTTAGGTCCTGAAAAATGTTAAATTTGACTGTTATCCTGTGCTGCTTTAGATATAATATTAAAACCTTTCCTTAAATGTTTTAACATGATTTAAACTCTTGGAATATGTTGTTGTTTTCTTACCCCCAACACATGCTCTGACAAGACCTTCTTGCATGGTTAAGACCTTACTAAAATGCAAATTAAAACAATCTTATATAATTCAATCAGTGGACTTTGAATCAATTTCATAGAGACTATATAATTGTGATGGTTGGCTTCATTACTCCTCATTAGTTTGTTGTTGGTTGCTTTTTATGGCTTTATTTCCTCCTGGCAAACCCATTTAGTTAGCTTCTATTCTTAGTCTATCTGGATTATTGTACTGTGTGGTTTTTACATTTGCTTGAAATGCTCAAGAAGGTTAACTTGCTGCATTTTGGTTTGGGAAATCACAGATGGATTTTTGAGATGACATCTGTTCTCTAGACAGGTGTATGATGATCCCCTGTAGCTTTGCTTATCTCTGGTGCAGCACTAATGAAGGTTCTCTCTTATTGAATAAGGATTATAGCCAGCTGCAGTTACATTTGCCTAAGGATTTAACTCAAATCGCTAATTGGAAAATTGTGATAAACTATCAATCTCTAACTACTAATTTAATGTTTAACAGCTATTATTAAGAAATAGCTTTGTTGTTGTTGTAAGGCAAGCTGAAATATGACTGAATTGATGACAATTTATATTATGGAAATTTTAAGTGAGCAGGATAACTTATGCTCTAGGCCCGACTGCAAAGCACACTACCTCCAGAGAAGATCTTAGTGCTTGCCAGTTTAGTCAATTCTGTTAGTGTCTTTTACAGGATTTATCTAAGATAATTATAATAACATATATTTATTAATATAATTTATAAATATATTAATCTGATTAGAAGGAAACATTCATTAATATCAAATGGATATACTAATTAAAATTCCTGAGCTCTAGCTCAGTAAAAGTAAATTTATTTTTTTACTATAAATCTTGTATAAGATCACTAGTTTTACTACTTGAAATGCATGATTAATAGGTACTGACATCATGCTATGAACCAGCAGGTTCTTGTATCATAGGCCATTCTGTAGGTATGAGTCAATAGCAAAATTATTTATTCCTTAGAGAGTTACTATAAATGTAACTTGTGCTTTGTTAGTACAACTTCAAATCTCAATTCACCTAATCTAAACAAAGGGAAAATATAAACCAGGCACTGCTAAAATATTTTTCTTTGGAGATAATGGAAACTCTTTTACCCTGTTAAGTCCATAAAAGGCAATGAATATCCCAAAGCAACCAGTCACTTTTTTTCTTTTTTTTTCTCAATGTGTTCTTCTCTCTCCAAAACGCTTACGCTATGTAGAACAAAGTTTTGTTGTATAAATTTGTTTTTGTCAAGCAAATTAGGAGCATTACATTTTAAGGGCAAAACTGAGGTCTTAGTTTTGCTAATATAAATTGGGGAAAAACTGTTAGCTTAAATGGAGTTATTCCAGCCTTATAATAGCATAAGTTAGGGTAAATTTTACTGCCTAGAATTTTTGTAAACTCCTGTTGGAGGCACTTTTACAGCAATGCATCATTGGTGACATTTACTTTTCAAAGCTTTAATATAATACATAGATATTAGACATATTCCGAATTGAAGTGAAGTAGCTTTTAAAATAGGCAAATGATTTGGAAGTGAGTAATGAGAAACATTTTCAGTATGTGCAAGTACTTTTACAAGATAGAGAATACTTATTCTTGTTTTTGACATGCATCAGGAAAAGCCTTGTTCAACAGTATACCACTATAACTAAATTTACCTAATGGTCTGGAAATACTTTTTGCTACTTCTGTAGGACTGGAAAACAGTGACAGTTTTTGTGTGATGCTCTCATTAAGTAACAGCCTCCTAAGCAAATACCATTTTTCCAGTTAACATGTTAGAATCCATAGAAAGAGGAGGGTTTGGCTTCTCAATGTTCTTAAAAACAATCCCCCTTCCCTGCCCTCCCCCCCCCCCCAAAAAAAAAAACAAACAAACAAAAAAACCCCAAAACAAAGAACCATGACAGTGTTATTAACTAGCCTTCAAATCCACTCGGTGCAATATTGTATTTCTTCCTTGTTCAAGCCAGAATAACTTCCTAATAAATCACTGTTGTAAACCAAGTGAAAATTTTTATACTTCAAAGTTTCTCACTCCCTTTGTGGCCAAGCAACTGGTGTTGAATTAGTTAACTAAGCTTCTTGCATTGAAAACTCTTCGTGTCTGAGCTGATATGAAGATAGCATACAAACTTCCAGCCAGGAGGAGCAGCTGCTAAGTTTTCTTCTCTCCCAAGAATCACATGGGCCAGTTACTGCAGTTGAGAGCTGCAGTGTGGCCAGAATCTTAAACTGGTCTCAAGCTCCCTCGCAACTCGCACTGATGGGTGAAAATCCAAATGCATTAGGAAATTGCATTGCCTTCTTACCTTGCCTGCACCCCCCTGACACTGCAGCACTGGAGGTTCATTTTACAGGTGTCAGCAGGACTGAGTGTAGCCCCTTTTGCACAAAATCCACATAAACATTTTATATAAAGTGTATTCATATTACTTTTAACTAACTTCCTAAACTTGCACAGGACTAAACACATCTTGCAGCAAGCTGTGCTTCATTTGCATCTTCCCAACCCAAGGAAAACTAAAGAGCAAAAACTGAAATTAATGTTAAAATAATAAACAAACAGCAAATGGAAAAAAGGACATACCCTGGTTATGATTAAAGGCTGGTTAAAATCTATCCCGCCTGACAGTCTGAATCCCCAAGGCGCAGGTCCTGGGAGAATAACGTTCTGTGGCATTGTGCAGCAGCTTTTCTGAGAGTTGCTGTTCTCTTGTCCTTAGCTCAGTGAGAGTTACTGGAGGTTGAGCTGTAGGACTAATGGTCCTGTCAGCAGTGTCTTTGCTGGACAGGGCTGCACACCCTTTAAGCCCTTAAGAAGGTTTTTCTCCCCCTCCCAGCTTCAGGAACTCCACTTTATCTCTGCTCCTGCGTGACGTCACCCGTCCCTTGTCTTCCCCACCCTCCGGGGGAGTATTGGCTTTGGACAAATAAAGTCTGGACACTGCAGAGTTTTCGACCAACATATCAGCTTTATTTGCTGCTTCACAGCTTAGTGCCCAGTCCAGCGTTTGGTAAGCTTCAGGTTACAGCTTCCTATTTGTCTCTTAAAGCAACCCGGCCTCAGAGTTGATGTTATGATTGCATCACTTTATTGTGTTTGCCTTAATCATACAATGCTCCTCCCCTCTTTTCCATGCCATCCTTAAAATATTTCTGGTTAAGCAATGTGTTGACATTTGAATCTCATGAATCTTTACTTTGTATTTTGGGCAAGTTTTAATATAATCACTTGCCTCTCTACAGAGTCTTTTCAGCCCTACCTTTGAATCTTTCAGCTTTTAAGTCTCAAAGGGTGTTCAATTATAAAATGTTTCTGCTGGCTTGGAACATTTCACTAGAGTCACAGCTGCTTCTTATCTTGGGAAATAAAAATAGGACTGTTGTAATAATCGACAGCCCTCAGTGGAAAGCTTGTACTCTGAAGTTATGTGGGTATCTCCAATTTGTGCTTGGTACTGCTGCTTACTCTGGCTGCCTCTTGATTCTCTTGTATCAGCTAAGGTTTTCATTGTAATTCTCTGCTGTATTGCTGCACACGTTTCTTTTGCACTTAATCTCAAAGAGTGAGTGAAGGTGTTCTGGTGGTGGTGAGATGGTTCTGTCGTCCTAAAATAGATTTCCATTTATTTCAAATAGTTGTAATCTTGAGTGCTGCCATTGTTCCAAGTGTACATTGCATGTGGTTTTTTAGGGGTGTGCGAAGTGGGCCCTATTCGATTTGGATTTGGCCTGAATCAGGGACAGTGATTCAATTAGTTGATTCGGATCGCTGTCCCTGATTCGATTTGGCCAAATCTATATCTGAAGATTCAATGATGATTCAGAGTATCAGTGATTTGGCCATAGACACAGCTTTAAATGTTTTTTTCTATGTACCTCAAGGTACCAGTGAGGCTTGTGAATGGTGCGATACCGGGGCACGTGGAGCATCCCACAGGAGTGTGTGTGTGTTTATGTGGTGGGGGGCCCTCCACGTGCATGGCAGTGAACCTGGAAGTGGACCGAAAGTACTTCCAGGTCCTCTGGGAAGTGTGCCAGGCCCCCCACAACCCCTGACTTGGCGATCGGCTGCAGGGGGGGGCATGGGTGCCCCCCCCGGGCTCGGGGGGGCCCAGTGGCTGGGCCAGAGGGGAGTGGGGGGGGGGGTCCCCAACCCCTGACTTGGCGATCGGCTGCAGGGGGGAGCATGGGTGCCCCCCCCAGACTCGGGAGGCACCAGTTACTGGGCCAGAGGGGAGTGGGGGGGGGGGGCCCCCCGCGGGGCCCCCCCCCCCCCAGAAGTGGACCGGAAGTGCTTCTGGTCCACTTCCGGGTCTGCTGGGGAGCGCACTGGGGAGTCTCCCGTGCTCCTGTAGGACACTTCATGTGCCCTAGCATAGCAGGTGGCTCATGAATGCTGCAACCTAGAGGTATGTAGAAAAAACGTTTAAAGCTGTCTCTGTGTCTGAATCGCCAAATCTTTCCAAAACTCTCTGAATCAGTTCAGAGAGTTCCAATTTGATTCGGCGAGATTAAAGGGTCTCCTGATTCAATTCAGAGATTCAGTCACCGAATTGGGCCAAATCTCCACCGAATTGAATTGGGAACCGAAGCTTTGCACACCCCTAATGTTTTTTCCCTCATAGCTTTTTCTGATGCTTCTACTAACAGTTTAGCCCTTGTATTGACTACACAAGATTAGTAGAGATTCTGTCTCAATCAGATACAGCTAATTGATTAGACAATTAGTCAATGGAAGATTTGCTTGAAACAGAGCACATTTGGATAGGGATTTAAGGATTTGGCCTAGTAATAACTTCCTTTCTAAAGGCTGTGAAAAGTTCTATACACAGAAGGCACTGCCTTTTCTTTACTATGTCCTACTCCTTTTCCCCCAGAGTGGTACCTGAACTTGGATGGGCCAGGAGAAGCTGTAGGTGAGCTGGAAGAGTGGGTAGGGGTACATATTATCATCATCTGACT